ATCTTCAATCTGCACACACAGAAAAGAGAAAACTGGGAAGAAACAAAAAGTGTTAGTGAAATGTCAAAACTCTGCATCTTTGAACATTCAACGAAGACGAACGGAACTGAAACAAGGGGTGAACACAGTGGGCCCGGACAAATAGGGAGACGAAACAGACAGACATGAACAGAACGCAACAAAACAGCCGGCAACCCACCACACACACTTTCACAACGGTCGTCCTGGGGCTAAGACCTGCAAAGAGGACATATCTCCATCCCAAGCTGGAGATATGATCCCAATTTCAGACCAAAGACCCAGGCAGGGGTAGCTTCCACCGCCGGTGACACAAGTTTCACCTCCCCCTTACCCCCCCCTTCCCTCCGCGATAGATGTCACACGGAAAAAAGGTTACAGTTACTTAACAAAAACTTCGATGAAAACCGGCGTCTTCTCTCTTCGCAGCATTCAAAAGCTCCCTGTGGCAGAAAAAAAGAGCAAGTACACATTGTAAATTCAATATCCAAATTTTCTGACATCACGTCCTGTCATCAAACCTCCAATACATTTCCATTTTATCAACAAGTACTGTATGTCCAACTTGCCATCTCAAACTCCAAAGATATACCCCAAGGTCTACCTCCACGTTAAAATCCAGCAAGCCCATTCAAATGCAAGGAAGCGCATCAAAACAGAGACGTTTTGCAAGGAGAAACATTACTCATTTACCTGTGGGAGATGAATGCTGCACTTGGACGACCTTACTTCTGTGCCCTTCATCTTCAATCTGCACACACAGAAAAATGAAAACAGGGAAGAAACAAAAAGTGTTAGTGAAATGTCAAAACTCTGCATCTTTGAACATTCAACGAAGACGAACGGAACTGAAACAAGGGGTGAACACAATTTTCAGGCCAATTTTGCACACTTTTTAGCTGACACAATTCTCCAAATATTTCATGAGGCAGTGGCAAGATCACCAGCCAAGTTTGAAGTCTAAATATTTTTTTTAAAATTCCTCAACATTTTGCACCTGCAAGTAAAGCCAATTCACTTTAATTGAAGCCTTAGACTATAGACTGGTACATGTCCAAGGTTTTCCAAAGATTGGCCTTTCAGAAGTCTGGTGGCATGACTATAGATAATTCTTTTGGCACAGTTGATTAATGCAGTTTTAAATGGGTGTCCCAAAGTTGTGAACTAGCATATTGCATGCCTTTCAAACCTAGACCTGTTCGGAACATTTTTGAACAATTGGGTTTGCTAATACTTTTGGTCATGGAGGTAAAAGGCCACCTGTTCTTGAATGTTTGTGCCCAAAACTAGCCCCACAAATAGGCGCACATTGTGCAGACCATTAAGCTTCCATAGACCTCATGCAGTGATAGCCTAATTACGCGCACTTCTCAAAATCATTACAAATACTGATGAGAACCGTCTCCAAGATGTTTGAGACACACATCAAATTAAAGCTTGTTTTATCATCTTTCATTTTCCTTGCAAATTTTTTTTTGGGGTGGGGGGGGGTGGGGTATCCAATGTATCCAATTTTGAGAAAATTCCATCCAAAGATGATCAGCCCTAAAAGCAGGCCTGAAGCCCATCGCCATTTTGAAAATGGACGCCTACGCTCCATTGCAAAACAGTGCCATTTTAGGGCCTAATTTCATCCACATTCCACATTTATACGAGCTCACAGTTCTCTGCGTGGCTTTTATCGTTCTTTTTTACAAATCCTTAAGTTCACGGCCCTAAAAATGCTCTAATACCGGAGAATTTGAGGGCATGCAAATCGTGATTTGGCCGGCGTATGCAATTTTGGGCCTATTTACTGATCTGCACCAATGGTTCAATAAACTTCCTCACAATACGGAAGTCCAGTAATTTTGAGCCACTTTTTTATGGGGATGTCCCAAACATGAAGGCCTAAACAGAATTTCGGTAATACTTATCTTGAAGGACACGCGAATTTTTAAGAGTTCTATTCAAAACTGACTTTTGCAGATGACTGTCCAGCACCAAAGTGACTTTTGCAGGCTGAAGCAGTCTTTTTTCTTCAGATAAATTCATGTTAGTTGTAATTTTGAAAGCACGTTCAAAGAAAATGTGACTTTCCTACCGTTTTTCGCAGTTCGCCATCTTGTTTTTTAAAAATATATTTCCTGTTTGTCATCGTCGTCTTTAACCTCTCATAAATCAAAGCCCTGCCCCCCGTTCTTCAAAATTAAACCTGCTGATATTCAAGAAGGTATCATTGCCAACTGTTCGTTTGTGTCAAGAAATATCAGAATGTCACTTTTGAGTGTCATTTATTCAGTTGTTTTGGCGAGTCTTTTAACCTTATGTAGCAACGGGGTCCTAAAGGTAAGGATTACCAGAATTTCTGCTCACAGCTGCATGGATTCTCCTCCAGTGCAGTTCAAAAGTATTTTTTTTTATATATTAAATTGATGTTACATGTATTTGGTTTACAATGTCCAAATCAGAAAGACAGGATCCAGACGCCACTTCTGAATTGTGTAAAATGTCTATGGAGCTAGAGTCAAGTGCATTTTCAAAGTATTTTTCAACAAAATAAACTGGAAATGTTTTTCAGCCCCAGATTCATGCCTTTTAAACATTTTTGCAATGACATGTATTTTAACTGCGTTTAGGAAATTCTGAGTGATGCTCGTTGAAAAACTTGTTAAATTTAATAATAAACATGTGTAGAGCAAAGATTTCATACTCAGATCCAAGATGGCGTTTCCCGCGTTTGGAGTTCGTGTCCCAAACCAACGCCCCCCCCCCCCCCGAAAAAATATTAACACACACACACACACACACACATACTTACACGAAGGCATATATGGGGTACCAGATTGTGGGGTACCGATGTAAGTACTATTGCTCCTTGTGGGCCATGAATATGGGGTCCTCAATTATTCCCCACAAGGATTATCAGTGTTTCAAAAACACAAAATACCCCACAAAGTTCCGAGTAAACAAAACTGTGCTTGAACAAGAAACTCTTTAATAAATGAAACATTGAAAACCTTAAGTACAAAAACTATGCTTGTACAAGCATGGAGGAATTCCTCCATGGTACAAGAAACTCTTTAATAAATGAAACATTGAAAACCTTAAAAGTACAAAAACTGTGCTTGAACAAGAAACTCTTTAATAAATGAAACATTGAAAACCTTAAGTACAAAAACTATGCTTGTACAAGCATGGAGGAATTCCTCCATGGTACAAGAAACTCTTTAATAAATGAAACATTGAAAACCTTTAAAGTACAAAAACTATGCTTGTACAAGAACATCTTTAATAAATGCAACAGTGAAAACCTTAAAAACACGAAACTTTATGCTCGGCCAAAAAAAAAGTTTTGCTTCCGGTTTACCCGACCAACCCTATTCGAACAGCCTCGGGGCTATTTTTTTCAGGAAAAAAGGACCCTCCCCCCCCCAAAAAAAACACCCACCCACAACATAAATTAGGCCCCTACTACCTTTAACCTTTAAACCTCAACTACACGTAAGCTGTGTGCAAAAGAAATTCCCTACCTACCTACCTACACATTTTCAAATACCGTGTAATAATGAATCGGAAACATAACTATTTTTGTGGCCTTGTACAAGAAATTCTTTAATAAATACAACAGTGAAAAATGAAATAAAAATACAAAATTTTGAAATTTCTGGTAAAGTTCTAGGAATGGATGCATGCAGCTGTGGTGCTTTGCCCAACTTCTCGTTCAGGAATCCCTTTGGTTCAGGAAAGAACTGAATCGTTCAATACGTGACTTAAAAGCATCCATAATGTCTGACCAGTCAATATCCAATAACAACACATACTGTTGGGAAATGGCATGACATTAAATCATTCAATTTAAAAGAAAAAGATGCCATATAGACCTATTGGTTTATTTTGCATGTTCCATTGAGCAAGCTGCGTCAAAGGCAACAAGACTACAAGTTATTAAAAATGCACACATCTGGTCCGTTTTCCAAACCCCAGCTTAGGCTCCATCACTATTGCCAAACTGCATGAACGAAGCCAAAGCGGAGACGAAGCTGGGGTTTGGAAAACGGCCACTGTGTTCCAGAAGATAAACAAAGGGATAGTTTGGAGGCCAAGTTGCATATAATCTGCGAATGTCTAGCTTGGGCAAATCATCCTAAATTTCATGAACATTGTGTCCATTTTGTGCCTGAAATTATACCAGTATTGCATGAATATTGATCAATCAAGGAACGTCCGCCACCTGTTTAACTTACCATCCCATGGTATGTAAAGAATTACAATGTATTTTTTTGTGTGCGCGTTTCCAGTCTACTGTTCTTTTTCTCTTTTGATGTGCCGGTGTAGCATAAATTTAAGACTCTATGAAATACGGCCTCATTGGTAGTATTACGCATGCTTAATTAAGTGATGATCAGGATAATTAGGAGAGTGACCGGCACGTGAGAGGGTTTAACCAATAATAGGGAAAATGGGTCAGATTTTCACTGGAGTCTTTTTTTCATATCATACCGTTACCAACACGTAAATTTGGCTGTATTAATCTAAAGCTATAAAAACAGTAAATACACCACGTGAATTTCCCGCTCGTTTTTTTTTTCCGGTTATTTTCGGTTTATTTCTTCTTTTTTTCACAACATAGCTTACCTGACCCGACCCAAACCAAAAATCCCAAAGCAAAACCGAACCGAAACCGACCCGACCCGACTTAAATGATGAAAAAAACATCCCGACTTGACTGAAATGATGGAAAAACCGACCCGACTCGACTGAAATGATGGAAAAACTGACACGACCCGACTGAAATGATGGAAAAACCGACCTGACCCGACTGAAATGATGGAAAAACCGACCTGACCCGACTGAAATGATGGAAAAACCGACACGACCCGACTGAAATGATGGAAAAACTGACACGACCCGACTGAAATGATGGAAAAACCGACACGACCCGACTGAAATGATGGAAAAACTGACCTGACCCGACTGAAATGATGGAAAAACCGACACGACCCGACTGAAATGATGAAAAAAAACGACACGACACGACTGAAATGATGGAAAACCGACACGACCCGACCCCGTCAGTTTCGAGTTGGGTCGGTATCGGTTCTGTTTTGCACATTACTTGCCAGTGTGTCTGCATGGAGTCCAATTCTCTGTGTACTGGACTAAGGTCCAAATTCTACATAAAATTGGCAGCAGGTAACGTTTACTTTAAGCTATAGATTTGGATACAGTCATAGCGACTAGGCCTAGAAACAGCCCTGTTGCAGCACTGCCATGTTTGAAAATGGCCACAGTAAGAAATTACTTCACCATCAAGAAAAGATTTTGCCATTTCTTACAGTAAATGTTCCACCAAGAAATGCATCGAGATGTTACAATTATTACCTTTTCACTATGGAAATCAACTTCAATTTCTTTGTTTTACAAACGCCCATATTAAACTCTTAAAACCTGCAGTATCTATTGGTTGTCCACTTCATCTTCTAAATGAAAGTCGTAACATTTTAATTGGTACACCAAAGCAAAGTAAAATTGTTGACACGATATGGCTTACACAAAAATAAGAAAAAAACATGTACCCATATAAAAAACTTTCACTGGGTATTCCAACATCATAATTTGTTCCTTCATCCTCATGCCATGCATAAATGGACAATAACAGTCTGTGTTTGCACTTCAATCAAGTGCAACCTGCAAAATATGGACAGAAATGATCCTATTTGATACATGTATAAAATAGGGACATTTGCTGTAATGTGGAATAAATGTTAAAGTTAACATTTTTCAACTGCAACAAGGATATACTATGCAACTCTATGAATGTTTCAGTTCTTTTCTTTGTCCCGTTCGATGCCACATAGAATAGTTTTCACCTTGTACTTAACATCCCTCCACGACCGCTGATTGAGAGCAGGATGCATTTTTTCCATGCATGCTTCACACTCACTTTTACCAGGAACTCTGTGACACTTTATTATTTCGTGTAGTCCTGTCCAAACAGCCGAAGTTTCGGATTTGCTCCATGGCCTTCGAGATTTGGGAGCAGTGCCTGAAAGAAAAATCAATGCACACTGCAACTGAGAACTCGGGCAAGATTACACAACACAAAGTGGCTTTAATAAACAGATGGCTTTTGCTAGTTTTGTTCACTGCATAAAATACGCCATTTGTGTGCAAGGATTGAATAATCCAATGTTCACATTCCACATTTAAATTGTAGCCTTTAATAGTTTTGCTATTTCAATGGTCTCATAGACTGCTAGCTATTTGACCATCTCAATATAGACATGTATAGACTGGGTTGAAACTGGTTACTGCAATCTGCCTTGTTGCTCAAATGATATAAGGAGAATGAGTTAAACCAACCATTGGACTTTCCTGTTGGCCTGGGACCTGGTTCTGGAGACTGCATCGGGCTGGACACTGCAGAGGCACGGACATCTGTCACATCTCCAGTGCGTTGTTTCTTCCTGGTGTGCGTTGTGGACCCTGCTGCTGCTTTGGAAGTACCGACAAAGCAAATATATATTATACAGCAAAGCAAAATGTTTTAATGTGTTTTAGAAGATATATCATTAGCCACACCTTCCTGTTTTGGTAGTTTTGGTAGTTTTGGTATTATCTGCAAAGTCGCGTAACAAACAATCCATTACATTGTCTTGTACACAGCAGTAACCCCCAGCATGCTGTTCGATTTGCTTCCATCAAACAGATTCCGTTGTTATTTGAGTTCCACTCAGGTACTGCAATTCGTCATGTGAGTGACCACTTAGGTCTATCCAAATTTGTTTGTAAAACAAGAAATAATCTAGTGCATTAGATCACTTTGATCTGAAATTACTAGTTTGCAACTTAATTAACATATGTCACAAATCAGTATTTTGTGAGATGGTTTCAAACAGGCCTGCAGTACGGTAGCTTTCAAAAAGATAAGCTTTTTGCCATTTCTGTGTCTTGAGCCTTTACGTATTCTACCCCCTTTAAAGTGTAGCACCAGTACTCAAATACAGTAGCGAGAATGAGTTAATTAAACCAACCATTGGACTCTCCTGTTGGCCTGGGACCTGGTTCTGGAGACTGCATCGGGCTGGACACTGCAGAGGCACGGACATCTGTCACATCTCCAGTGCCTCGTTTCTTCCTGGTGTGCGTTGTGGACCCTGCTGCTGCTTCGGAAGTACCGACTGGATTATACAATGTACAGCAACAGATTAACAATTGTGCATCAGCAGAAAACAATTACATTTTAGTTGTATTACATGCCCATTTGTAAATTGTTTGCACTAGGTTGGTCTGCAAATCTTTTTGACAGCAGATGTTGCGGTAATGAGTTGCTTCTTCTTATGTGCTGGGCTGTTGCATTATACCAACATTTCTGGAGGAAAACCAGTAGTACACCCAAGGAAAAACAAACAAACAGTCATGTACATTATGCATGTATACAGCAAAAGGGGATTTTTCTCAGTAGGGCACTGTGTACAAAAACTAAAGAGGTATGTGTTTATAATGTTAAACACAAAGACACAATGGGACGTCCTTAGTTTGAGCCCATATACACAATTATTTGCACATGTATGTATGTTCACTGCAGTGATGAGCCAAGCATTAATTCAATTCCTGAACCAGCTATTAACACTTGGTAGTTCTTGGCAAAGCAATTTTAAGAAGTGAATCAATAATGCAAGAACATCACCCATTTCCAAACACAAATAATGGTTCTGGGCATTCAATATTAGAAACGGTTGTAACGGAAGTATGTACCTTGAGCTTCTTCAGTGTCTGAATCCATATCTGGCACAGGAATGTCTGTAAGCAAAATAGTGAACAAAAAAAAACCCAGAATAATAAGTTTACAAAATATACATTCAAAAACTTATGCATAAAATATGCATGCTAGATTCCATCAAAACACCTGCAGCTACATGTATGACTGGGCATGGAAAAATACGGAACAATTCATAACTTTGAGTGTCAACACTAATATCAATCATGTGGCATACACAACATCAAGTGACGCGGCAATGATGAATTAAATCAATTATCAGGAAAACAAAGCTTGTGTACATGTACTATGAATTTAGTCAAAATTTACTGACAGGTTTGTTTGCAACTTTCCAATGATGGAATGCAGCTGTTATTTTATATTTACTTGGGGATAATTAGGAGAAAAGTAGGAGATACGCATTCTGATCACTAGGTAAATCTTAAATTGTCTAAGCTCCACATGTATCTAAAATGATTGAAAACTTAATGAGCAATTCTAGTTATGAGCTGTTGCAAAAAATGAATGCAAAGTTGAGGTCGGTGGCATGACAGTATAAGGTGCAGGGTCTTCATCAGAGGCTAAATTCAAGACCCTGATGTAGACTCTGCAAGGGGTAAACATTAGGCTACTGACTACAACCTCTAAAGCTTGAATATGTGACACTCACCATCAAGATCTATTTCGTCCAGGGACTTCCCCACAAACTTCCCTACATTGCCACTGTCAATGGCCAACATAAGTTTGGCTACTTTTGTCAGTTCGATAGTGGGTGCAGAGAGACGATAGTAGTCTCTGTGAACATTGATGCTGTGTCCAAGATGGTCTGCTAACCAATCCAACTGAGAGTCCTTGAGGTTGAGGATCTGGCTGACTGTTGCTGTATACTTTCGCATTTTTGTGGTGCGAATTAGATGCGGTTTCTGCAAATTGGCTTCCTTAGTGAGTTCTCGCAGACTATCACAGGCTCGTAGGTTGGTGTTACAGCCAGGTCGAGCAAAGAAGTATGGATTCTCTTTGGGTACCCCACAAACATCACGACAAGTTGTCAGCTGATCCATCGCTGCCTTGGTCTCTGCCGGAATCAGAATGGGTACTTTCCTCCCGCGTTTACCACGTGTATACACCATATCCAATTCCTGCATTAGGTGGCGTTCAAGAGGCGTCAGATACTGCTTTATGTCGGAGATACTTGCTGCATCCCAGTTGGGCCGACTTGTATACGACTTGAGACTACATGAAAAAAAAAGAGGTTTTTTTTAAGTACATGTTAAAGTGTAATAATAGGGTTTAAAAAGATTTTAACATTTGCTTGGTGGAAAGACAATATACACTAGTTAGAGGTTTGTGGATGCACAATGTGTTTCATCTCTTTTATGGTTACATGTATGTGTGGCTCTGAAAAGAACCAGGTTTACTCAACATATATCAAACATATGTATGCTCTGTTTGCATTCAGGAAACTGAAGATGGATAGAGCATACTGTTTGACATGTCGAGTAAATGTGGCCAGTTCTTCTCAGAACCACATACATGTATACTCACCAAAGAGATCAACAAACCTCTAGTGTAATGGGGTTGAAATACATTTTTATTGCCAATTTCATAACCAATTCACAATGAACAGGCATACATCATTGATTCTAGTAGGGTTGGTGCACCATCTGATATTTTTTTTAACTGACAAACATAGCTGGGCACATTTATCGTTACATGTTTTCAGTGGTGGCTGACATGTCCACTATTAAGTACTCAATGTTGGCAACACCCCGATGAAATTATCAGCTAAACCATAATGCATAAAAGATGTCAAGCAGGAAAAGTGTATTATTACCACAGAGAGAAAATTGGGTATTGACTCCAAGATGTTTGTGACTATTAAACATTTTAGGAAGTTGATAAAGAAGAGCAAATATGAGCAAGTCCTTGTGACATTAACACAACTTACGCAAGCTGCTCTGTTTCGCCTGTTCTTCGTTTGTTGAAGGTTGTGAGTCGAGCAAGGACTAACTCACTACATCTCCGAAAATTCACGGCAGATGCTCGTTGTTCCAGGTTCACTGTTGCTTTCTCGATGTTTTCTTGCAGGAATGATGTGAACATTTTTACATCATCAGATTCAGGAAGCTCTGTAACCTTGTTATACTTGCGCTGAGAAATTTTGCCAAGGACTTCTGATGAGATCTGCTCGGCCCATTCAGCTTCTTTGAGCTTAAGGAAACACTTGGCCTCCTGCTCAGCTTTCTTGTCTCCTCTTCTCAGGGCTGAACACCTTTTGATTGCCGCCAATTTGGAAAGAGTGTGGCCCAGTTTTAAGGCAACTGAAGGTCGCTCAATTTCATCAGTCTGGCCTGATGTCAAGCGCACACCACGTACCACAGTGTCAAACTTCTGGGGCTCAATAAAGTCATCTACTAAAGCATTTGACTGTGTGATCTCATGTAGATTGATCATAAGCCTTGCAACCAGTCGCATTTCTTGAGCAACATAATGCCTTCTTCTCTGCGGGTCCATCCCAAAAGTGCGACTATGTGCATTTCCCAGCTGAATTATTAGGGGATCTTGCTTCACCACTTGGGATATCTTGTCCTGCTTCATTCCTACTAGAACAGTTTTCACCAATGGGGATGCTTCTGCGAAATCATTCATGAGTAGACAACTTTCAAGCTTTACATTTCTGAAACTGTCTTCGGTGTCTATTTCACTTTCCTTGGCAATGCAGTAGTACTTCATGTGCTTTCGAAAGTCACTGATGCGATAAAACCCCAAGCAATCTGGGCAGGGCCCATATAGTTGGGTCCAAAACATAAGTTCCGTGACCATTCTCTGGCTAGGATGGTTTGACGATGGATTTGACTTCTATGGACCATTTATAAAGAAATTAGCCCCCCGGTCCCTCCCAAAAATCCCGGCATTTTTCGCTAGGGGGCCAAATCCAAGATGGCCGCCGGCGCCATCTTGAAAAATTAACTTTTGAACCAGAGCACCTAGAATCACGTATGAAGACACTTTTCCAGGTAAGTCGACCATGAGAATTCCGATTCCGACATCAGTTTGACGCTATGACGTCATTTTGACCCAGAAATCCAAGATGACCCCCATTCGATAGAGCAAAAACATAAATTTCTAACGGGAGCACCTAGAATCATGAATGAACACATTATTTTGGCAAAATCGTTGCGCTGATGCAATTTAAGAAGGTCCTGGACCCATCCAGCATAAATGGAGCAAGAACCCGCAGCCAGACATGATGGCCAATGGTTCTTAAGGAGTGAGGTCCGAATGGGATCGAGGGCCATATCAGCTGGTTTTAAAAATGATTAGCACAATGAAGTTCTGTCTTGTTTTAACAAAGCACACTTCATTTTCAGGTTTTGTCCCTACTGACTACTGCAATCATCATAATCATCACACTGCATATTACATGTATGTTGGCACCAAATTATTCGCTTTTTATATATTTTATATCACAAACACTTCTGCTACTTCTTACTGTTATTGTTTTCTCGGATTGGTACGCGCACTGTAATGATGCTGTGGTTTCCCTGGTTTGTGATATGAATTGAGAACATAGCTTACGACAATGTCCACTGTTCCATGTGTCCTCCAGTGTGGTAGGCTTTGCGACAAGGCCACCGACCCCATTACCTCAATTGAGATCTGGGAAAATCAAGAAAAAGGCCCTGTAATGGAGCGGTCAGAACAAGTTTTGAGATGTCCACAAAACTGTCATTTGCAATAAATGTCCTGTCGGACAGTGTGTCTGTGATACATTTAGGTTGACCCTTTGAAACACCAAGAAACGAGACAAGAAACTTAAAACAGACCTACAAAAAAAGAAAAAGAGAGGTTGACGAATGCCAATCTCAGTCTTTGTCTATGTCTGTTGTCTAGTTCTGTTGCCCAGCTGCGGCTTCAGCTGCCAAGGAGCTGCAATCGAGTCTGGGTTTAATGCATCATAAAACAAAATGTTAATGGAGCTGTAACATGAATTAAGCAAAGCACCCAGAATCAAAGCCAATCCTGATTTTGTATGATCACGCATGAGATGCGCTTGAGATCAGATATCACCCTCAAATGCCGGTTGAATTTATGTGCGTAGCTATCAGAAAATAAGTGAAGATGACAAACTCTCCCGAATGCACTATGCCTTTCTCCATGAGGATCAAACGATCTTCTTTGACCACATCAGAACAGTTATCTTTGAGGAACATAAGCTAAGGGCACTTTAGAGCCTCCTCAGAGATGACAGGATAAACCTTCTCTGTGTATATGGCTTCCCAACATCCAGGGTCAAGTCACCCTATTCATGCGAGGGCAAGATTGCCTTCCACTCCCATCCTCGAAGGAGACATAGCGACCTAGACTGTGACGCGTCTGTGGGGGGGGGGGGAGGGTGGTTCTTATGTCGAAGCAGCTGTGTCCTCCATCGGTGTCAGCATAGCAGATAGCAACTGGTGCACAATGTGGCTGATTGGCTTAGGAATGAATAATCAAACTCGTTCCGTAGGCACCGAGGGTCAAGGTGCTAGAGCAGGAGGTGAAGGAGTTCTGCTTGCAATCTGCTTTGCTTTGGAAGAGGGGGTAGATCTGTCCCCGAGCACTCCCCCTCTCACCTCTCTCATCACACAGTATGTCATAAAGCTACCAACCACATCTGCCAGAAGTGCCACCATCACCCTTCTCGGGATGACTTACAGCAAGGAGCTTATACTAGACTCTTACTACAAGCTGGGCATGGGGATCAGCTACCTAATGTGCTTCTCCTCCGCGGCCTTTAGACCATGCATGACCTGGAGCGGTGCTCGGTCTCTCCTGAGGAGATCGCTGAAGGAGAACAAAGCAACCTGATGCAGCCGAGCAAACTATTCGGTGTCATGATGGCTTGAATATGGAGCAGGGGAAGCGCAAGGCTTACACTGACTGCTCAACAAGTCAGTTGTGAATCATGTCAAAGACAAGCTGTCTTAATCATCGGCACTAAGCGCATGGCTCTTTGTTGCATGATTAGGGTGGATGGGCGGCTCACAGCGCCGTGTGGTCCTTAATGACGTACCTGCTTTCATCTCAGCCTCCTCATCAGCCAGTATTTGTGAGACAGTCTTTGCGTCTTTGATGCGCATAAGCTCATCCTGGATATTTGCCTTTTTCTCATGTACAAGAGGTTCTAGATGCTGCAGAAACATCAAGTTACAGCGGTGCGTTTCCTCCTCCTATAAAGTTGTTGTTGAGAAAGTCATCAGTGTCAATGTCACTGATGATTGGTTCTTCATCAGCGATTTCCTTGGGATAGACCGAGCACCGCTCCAGGTCATACATGGTTCAGACGTCTTGCAGGAGAAGCACGCTTGGGTAGCTGAACCCCATGATTAGATCACTCAGGTTCCTCCGAGGGTTGGAGCGAAAGCCGATCTTGCCCTCAAACTCCTGGCTTAGGATATCTTTTATATAGGATGACTTGACCCTGGATGCTGGGATTAGGGTTAGGGTTAGGGTTACTGTTCTTACATAACCAAAGAAGGTGGTCTGAACCTTATAGAGAGTTACATTGAGCATGCGTGGGAGTTTGTCATCTTCACTTATTTTCTGATAGCAAGGCATTATTTCAAACGACATTTGAGGTGATATCTGATTTCAAGCGCGTAGGGCTGATCAGCTGCAGGATCGATCAGACAGTTGATTCTATCTTGCAGGCTCTGATCTTCCAAGGCCACTCTGTCTCTTGAAAGCTGGCGTGATCGTACGAAATCAGGATTGGCTTTGATTCTGGGTGCTTTGCTGAATCTGTCTTACAGCACCATTGGCACTTTGTTTTATGATGTATTGCCGCCAAACTCGATTGCAGCTCCTTGGCAGCTGAAGCCGCAGCTGGGCAACAGAACTAGACAACAGACATAGATAAAGACTGAAATTGGCATTCATCACCCTCTTGTTTTTCTTGTCTTTTGTTGGCCTGTTCAAGTTTCTTGGTATTTCATAAGGTCAAGCTACATGCATCACGGACACATATTGTCCGACAGGGCTTTTATCCGAATTGTCAGTTGCGTGGACATCTCCAAACTTGTCCAGACCGCTCCATTACAGGGCCTTTTTCTTGACATTGTCCAACCTCTCATTTGAGGTCATAGAATCGGTGGCCTTGTCGCAAAGCCTACCACACTGGAGGGCACATGGAACGATGGACATTGTCGTAAGATACATGCACGTTCCCAATTCATCTCAAACCACCGAAACTACAGCATCATTGCAGTACGCGTAACAATTCCAGGAAACGTATAACAGTAAGAAGTATCGGAAGTGTTTTGTGATATAAAATATATAAAAAAAGAATAATTTGGTGTCAACATATATGTAGTGATTATGATGATGATGATGATTATGATGATTGCCGTAGCCTCATTAGGGACACAACCTAAAAAAGGAAGTGCGCTTTGTTAAAACAACTCAGAACGTCGTTGTGCTAAACAAGTTTATACAAAATCCAGCCGATAAGGTCCTCGATCCCATTAGGACCTTGCATCTTATGTTGGATGGGTCCAGGACCTTCTTAAATTGCATCAGCGCAACGATTTTGTCAAAATAATGTGTTCATTCATGATCCTATGTGCTCCCGTTCAAAAGTTATGTTTTTGCTCTATCAAATGGGGGTTATCTTGGATTTCTGGGTCAAAATGATGCCATAGCGTCAAACTGATGTCGGAATCGGAATCCTCATGGTCGACTTACCTGATAAAGTGTCTTCATACATGATTCTAGGTGCTCTGGTTCAAAAGTTAATTTTTCAAGATGGCGCCGGCGGCCATCTTGGATTTGGCCCCCTAGCGAAAAATGCCGGGATTTTTGGGAGGGACCGGGGGGCTAATTTCTTTATAAATGGTCCATAGAAGTCAAATCCATCGTCAAACCATCCTAGCCAGAGAATGGTCACGGAACTTATGTTTTGGACCCAACTAATAGTCTGTGCTGTCACTACCATCATCTGAAGGTCTTCTAACCATTATGAGCTCTCCTTGCTTCAATTCCTTGACCATTTTGTTGTGGTAATAATTTCCACGATTTCGCAAAAGTTCAAAAGCTTTGGCCCTCTCTGTGGTTTTAACTTCCATAGATGCAATCCTTTTCACTTCTTCTTCATCTTTGTGAGCATGTAGTAAGTGCTTGCTGATTTTTGTTACAAGTTTAGAACAGAAAAAGCAAGCCTGACGTTTGTTGTAAACTCTCTGTTTTGTTTCTTTACTTCTTGAGACAGGGGGGAAATATATCGTATCTCTATCAGGAGGGATTTTGGATTCATCAGAAAAGTGCATGTCATCATCTGAAACACACAGAGATTCGTCACTACCATCAGGGGTGTTGCCATCACCATGTCCATCAGAAGAGTTCTCATCAGGAACTGTCGAGCCATCAAGACAAGAACCAACAGGACAGGCCCTATCAGTAACTGGCAAACATGAAGATGGTGAATTTCTCGCACTGGCATGTGATGCAATGCCACTTTCAATGTGAGCAGTACTACTAGCCCTTTCCCCTTTGCCAGTGGGACAGTTTTGCAGTACACAAGAATCAACAAGCTTAGAAGAATCTCCATTTGCCTGAGAATTATTGTCATCACAAGCAGTGTTTTCCCCCGACACAGAAATCAAGTGTTGACAATCTCCAGCACTGTCATTTTGCATACTCGCCAACAAAGACATGACGTCACAACTTACGAACTGTGCCACACCATCAGCAGCAGGTGACATGGCCATGTCTGCATGAGCAACTTCTGTCCCAAGTTCTTGAGG